AATATAGAAAGTCAGAATAAAATTATGGCCGAACACACACACGGCACACACACTACGGGAGTACCGTTCAGAGCAGAGGTTGGCAAGGTTTTAACCAGGGCTACGAATTTTGCCCACCCAGTCTGGCGGGCCATGTAAGTGTGACCTTAGAAGTTACATTTTATGAACAATATTTACAGTGTTACAAGGTAAAGGTGGAAAACAATATGCCTCGTGCCAAAACTAAATTTAACCGCAATCTCAACAAATTCCTCGAGCTATTTTTAGCTAAAACATTAAAATTTGGTTTCAGTTTGGTTGTGGCAGCCTCAGACGGGCCAGATTGAATTACCCAACGGGCCGAATTTGGCCCGCGGCCGCACACTGCCCATGTCCAGTTTAGAGCTAAGAGCAGGACTTGGGAGTAAGTTTCCTTTTACCTATTGGTATCGGTAGTTGGTTGTTAGTTATTGTCTTCAGAATTCACTACCCTGAAAGTAACCATGCGTATGTAACTTAGCGCTCAACTCTCAATCTCCTCTATTTATGAGTGAGTGCCTGCAAAACTGTTTTAAGCAAAATCTAATTAGGAAATCCCAATGTTTTAGAAAAAAAGGAAAAACACAGTAATTTTATATTTGTTGAAAGTTTGAACGTAAATAATAATTTTCTTAACAAATATAAATTTGATTTGAAAAAAATAATAGCAAAATTGGAAAACAATAAGCCTCGTGCAGGAACTAAATTTGATCGAAATCCCAACGAATTCCTTGGGTATTTTTTAGCTGAAACATCCAAATTTGGTTTTAGTTTGGTTGTGGCAGCATCAGGCGGGCCAGATTGATTTACTGGCCCGCGGGCCGCAATTTGCGACGTCAGTGATTAACCATGTCTACAATAAACTTTTCCAAAAACTGAAGCAATATACCGTTTACTAATCGTAACTACATACGCTAATGATTTTGTTTTAAAAATTTGACTTTTTCGGAGTTAGAAGGATTGGGATTCAGAACTTTTTACTGGTTTTCATCCTCTTGTGAGATTTCTCATTGCCAAGTTGGAACGTAACAGATTGGCGGAGAAAAGAAAGGTTTTTAGTGTCTTGAAAATCTAAAAAGCGTCACAAGCATCGAAAATTTTCTATGTTTGATACAGAAAATGCTTTATTTTTTATTTACGATTTAAAAAAAAAGGGGGGGGAAGGGGGGGGATTCGACTCTCAAAACCACCCATCTAGGGCACGCCTCTGTTTGGGCATCACGAATCTTCGGACTATGTCTATTACCCACTTGTTGTCTCTTGTTTGTAACCATGGATTCCACGCATAGCATTGCTCAATGAGTGGCAATCGCACTAATTATTGACTTCTTCCAGTTTCTAGTTTATGCAACAAAATTATCAATGGTCGATTTTCAGTTGTCTCGATGGACTAAAAAGCGTTTCATACTATGAAAAATTGCTGTGTATGGCACAGAAAAATGCCCCCTGGGCCAAGACCCTGATCTGGAGCTTTGTTAGGAGTAGGGCTGGGCATTTCGAATCGAATATTCGAATCGAATAGTAAATTATTCCAATCGGTTCAGAGCTAAATTTCGAATCGCCGCCATCTTGTTTTTATCTTTCCGCTAATGGTCGAGGTGAATTCCCCAATTTTTTTTCATTGGAGTCATATTTTTTCAACGAAATTCTAACATATGACTATTTTCTGTAGTGAGTTATTGATAAAACGTGTTTGTTATTCTGTGTGAACGCTCAGTAATCTATCTGGGTGATTTATTCTATGTCTTCGGTAATTCATGTGTTGAGAGGACCAATTACTTTAATAAAATCGCTTACAAATCGATTCGAAAAAAATTATTCGATTCGATTCTGAAATCACAAGGTATTCGAAAATGTCCAGCCCTGGTTAGGAGCGAAAACATGATAAAAGACTGTAACATAATGAATGACTTGGAAAATGGAAATATGAAAATTGGGAAACGGAAGCGGAAAACTCCAAAAAAAAATTTTCTTTCGGGTGAGCTTGTATAGTGAGCTTTAGAATAATAACCCGTTTTTTCCTAAAACCTTAATTGGGGTGAAAAAAATGAAACGTTGCGGTGACAGAATGACGAATAACTAACGTATAAGCACAACACGTGGGACATGTTATGGGCGTGTTGTCCGAATATTGGGGGGTGACGCCGAACAGAATGTAAAGCGGGACTGTTGCATAACAATCGCTGCTTGTTATTGTCCTCGAAAGCGTTGAAATAACCCCAAAAAAATTGAAAGGTAACAAAATAACGATTAATTAACGTCCCAAAACACTTTGGTAAACATATCGTGCAGTCATGAATGCTTGTCTGAGGCCTTGCTTAGGGCGAAATATGCAACAAAAAATAACGTTTAGACTTTAAATAAAAAGCGACATAATGACGAATAATCAATATATGTATATATGAAAAATCATAAAAATCACACTGTTTTGCGGGCGTGTTGGCCTACAAGTTGGTGCAAATTGGGCGGGCAATTCTGAACCGGAAGAAGTACTTTTCTGAAGCTTTGCTAGGAACAGAGACATGATAAAAGGACGTAGCAAATTGTAGGATAACAGCCTGTTTGAGATAGACGACATTCATAAAAATTGGAGGCCTCCATGACTATCCTGTTCAGCACTAGATTTTCCATTTATCTGAAAAAAAATTCATATTTAAAAATACTAAAATAATTATCGTTTGCATGTACAGCATATTTACTTTATTATTACGTTTTATGCATTCGGCCAAACAAACTTCTGTAAAACTATTCACTTACACCAGAGGTCGGCAACCTACGGCCCACGAAGTAATATAATCCGGCCCGCGACGCTTCACTGAATTATACTAACAAAACAGATGTTTTGACGATTATATTCTATACGTAACAGAATTTATTGTGAGACAAGTGTGGACTAAATTATATTATATTCTAACAAAGATAAAATTCACAATTACTCGTTTAATGAGCCTATAATTTAATTATAATTAGGCAAAACGCAGAAAAGTTGGAATTTTTTTTAGATGCAATGAGGAAATAAATCTATATTCTATTCGCGAGACGTATCACTGCTTGATTTTTATCATAAAAAGTATCTTCCATTCGGTTTTCAACTTTCTAAAAATATGTGCGGCCAGTCAATGAATTGCAACTCTTAAATATGGCCCGGGAGCGACAAAAGGTTGCCGACCCCTGACTTAAACATAACTAGACCAATTGCCAAGAAGTCCCTTAACCACGAGTCATCCTTGTTTGATGACAAAAAACGCGTATTATGAGGTCATTTTTACCGGCAACGCCTTTGAATTGTTTTAAAGAAAAAATTAATTTACTTGTGTGGTAATTGTATACATATTGCCTATAACTGCTATTTTTAATTAGAAAAAGTACATTCATTTATGACATCATACTCTAATTTAAAAACTAGGAAATATTACTATGACGTCATCATCATTTTACGCAATCCAATATGACGCCGCAATAGAATTTGCAGGGTTATAACGCAAAATATGACAGCTTGATATGATGTCACGGATTTTCACTTACTAGATTGCCGCGAGTACTCAACTGCCCGCAGGATTCGAACCCGCCAAGGTATTGCTCACGTATATTGTCAAAATTCTTAACGGCTCTAGTCAGCATTCTGAAAATTCTGTAATTGCTCACCAGAAGGACATATAAATTATGGAGATTTTCTTTATAAAGGTGGGTGGAGGACAGTGCCGTAGCATCCACCCCTGCGGTCGCGGGAGGGCCCACAGCGCCAAGGGACCCAAGCGGTTAGAAATTTAAGCCGCAAATCGAAAGCTGCAATGCAAAACCAGTAATGGACATCTTATAACGTTGATGTTAGTTCTGCTCAAATCTTTTTGTTACGTAACAATGCCAGGAAGTCGTCGATTTTCGGCGTCTTGTGGTTTGATCGCACCGACAAAATTACGAAGGCTGTCAGAATGTCGAAAGAAAAACCTCGGGCAGAAAGGAAAGGACGTATGAAAAACAATTAAGTAACCAAAATAAACGGCAAATTTTAGGTTACCATTGCGCTTTTATAGCGACATGTTATGTTTTTCGACGAAATAAAAAAAAAGCGTTGTTTTAGCTTATGTCCGAGAGTCTTGCTACGCCACTGGTGGAGGGCCACACACGACTGGGCTGTATGCTGCTTAACAGTGTTCCGGTGCCCGTAGGATCCGAACCCACCAAGGTAAAAAACAGCGAAATTTATGCTGGCCAGTCATGCCTCAATAAATCCCGCTCATGGCGGAGCTATACTAAGTCTACAAAACCCGATTAGCTAACATTGATAGCAGTGACATTAATAGTGGCTTCAAAGCAGAATAGCATCCCATCACCAAACAAACAGTGAATGTGTAAAAACCACCCTTGAACCCAAAATCCTTCACCAAATAAAACTCAAAAATCACGATCAGCAACAAATATATTTCCACAAAAATAAATTCAACAATAAAAAGAGAAATGAAAGTGACACTGCAATATTACAAATATTGAAAAGTTTTTATTTTTCCATCTGAGTTGTGGGGGGGGGGGGGGGGGGGGGAGAGCTTATAAAGTTCAATTATGGAAGGGGTAATAGGATAATAGGTGCACTATTGGGACATGTCCTCACCAATAACCTGATTATACATTTTGTCAATTATGACATCATGTTCTGCATTATGGCATCATAATAATTACTATGAAAATTTTTATTCCGAATTTTGCTATGGTTTGAATTGACACAAAGAAGTGTCTAAAACATATAGAATATTTGCGGATTGGTTATGTATTTGGACAACTTAATAAAAAATAAATTGAACAATAAAAAGTGAAATGAAAGTGACACTGCAATATTACAAATATTGAATAAGTTTTAAATTTTCGTCTGAGTTGGGGGGGGGACTTATAAAGTTTTTTTTCTTATGATGACACATTATAGTTGAGATAATAGGGCACTATTGGGCCATTATGGCAATTTTTATTTCGATTTCTGCTATGGTTCGAATTGACACAAAGAACTGTCTAAAACATATAGAATATTTGTGGAATTGGTTATGTATTTGGACAATTTAATAAAAAATAAAGCTATGTGAATACTGCAACATGGAAGCTATAAAAATAGGAGCAACATTATAGATTTTCAAATCTTGGTAGCACATGGTGCAAATAAAAATAAATTGTTAAAATACTTGCAATTAATTATGAAATTGTACATTTATCTTAGAGCAGATTTGACGATGCTCAATGAAATACCAAAAGTTACTTAAACTACATAAAGTTATGCTGGTGCAATATCGAGAAATTGTTAGGGAGGGGAAATACCCTATAAATTATTTGTAAAGGGCAAAATTTTGAAACAAAAATTGACCCGCTCAAATACAAGGAAGCAATAAATAGCAGCACTAGTGCATTTGAATTCGCATGGCAAATATTCTGTCCAGTTATGCTTCAATGGTTATTATAAAATTTGGAAAGGATATTTATCCCAGCAGAGCACATGGTGCTAAAAGTAAGGAATTAGTATAATACTTGCAAATAATTTTATAAATAAAAAGCAATTGTGTATTTAGGTCTAATCTCTGGGCAAAGTTATGGGTGGCCACTGCCAATGGCCACTAAAATTGGACTATATCGAAATATGATAGTGCATTTAATGCGCTCACTCAGAAGTAAAGGAGACTCATCTCTGAGCAGCGTAACACACTCCAGAGACTCCTTTCTGATAAAAATGATGGGCGCTCATTCAGGAGTAAAAAAGACTCATCTCTGAGCAGAGTAATGCACTCACTCAGAAGAAAAATAGATTTATCTCTGGACAAAGTTATAAGCACTCACTCAGAAGCGGAGGAGACTCATCTCTGAGCAGAATAATGCACTCACTCAGGAGTAAAATAGACTTATCTCTGGACAAATTCATGAGCACTCACTCAGAGGTAAAAAAAACTCATCTCTGAGCAGAGTTACGGGTACTCATTCAGAAGTAATGGAGACTCATCTATGAGCAAAGTAATGCACCCACTCAGAGGTAAAGAAGATTCATCTCTGAGCAGAGTAATGCACGCACTCACTAAGAAGTAAAATACACCAACTCTGGGCAAAGTTATGGGCACTCACTCAGAAGTAAATGAGAATCTGGACCATCAGGTTACAAAGAGCCTCCGTAATTATGTAGAATTACTGAGGTGGATTGTGAGTCAGCTATTATTTTGAGTAGTTCAAGACTTTAAAACTGCAACGTCATGATTGCAACACATTAAACAAAGAAAGAGTGGAAAAAGTAAATCTGTGATAAAATACACAAACACATGATTATATTGTGATGAACTTAAAATTTTGCAACAAAAATTGACATTAACGTACAGTTGAATTATCCAATCAATTCTATATTTTTGTTTGTATGAATGCGAACTCCCCAAACATCCATTTTATGATATTGGAATTCAAAATTTGAGAAGGATTAATTTTGAAATGTATTTTAGGCTGTGACTGTTATTCAAAAATTTATTTGCAATTTCAGATGGAAATCACCTGATTCATATTGTAATACAGACGTCCTTGGAAAGAATTATAAATTACAAACAACTTAAATGCCTTTAAAGGCTTGTAAACATAAATTTTATGATCCTATAACTTTAATTTTGATTCAAATTTTACGAAAGACAAATATCTAATTCTGTATTTTAGGTTTCTTATTCTATAAGACAGAACTGTGGACACCAAGACTTTCAAATACGCACCTTATAAACATAAAAATTGCAATTTCACTGCGTAAATGTGACAAAATAATGCAGATAAAAAGTAAAACTGTGATAAAACACACAGACACCAGTTAATATTGTGAAGGATTTGAAAATAGTGCAAACAAACGTTTGAAACTGGGCAGCATTGATTCGGAAAGTCCATAATACTATGAAAAATACTTTTTTTAAGAGAATTTGCTCTTAAGGGAAGCCGCATGCACTCTTTCATAGTACAAAGTTGTGTGCGATCACTAATAAGTAAAGGATAATTTTTTTGGGATTTGGGATTTGGGATGTCAAAAACTGCGAGTTTTGTACAACAATATTGCCAGTTGATTTGAGCGTTGACCAAAGTTTAGAGCAGGGGTCGGCAACCTACGGCCCGCGACGCTTCACTGAATTATAGTAACAAAACAGCTGTTTTGACGATTATATTTTTTACGTACCAGAAATTATTGCGAGACGCGTTTAGACTAAATTATATCATAATCTAACAAGGATAAAATTCACAATTACTCGTTTAATTAGCGTATAATTTAATTATAATTTGACAAATGGCAACAAAACGCAGAAAAGTTGATGCTAAGTGCAAATGGTTTAATTGTGCCGAAAATATTCAGATGGAATTTTTTGACATGCAATGAAATGTCACTGCTTGATTTTTATTATGAAAGGTATCATCCGTTCGGTTTTCAACTTTCTAAAAATATGTGGGCCCGCCAATGACTTGCAACTCTTATTTTGGCTCGCGAGTGACAAAAGGTTGCCGACCCCTAGTTTAGAGCATGGGTTCTCAACAAGTGGGCCATGGCCCATTGCTGCGCCACAAAAACATTCTAAGATGGCCTGCAAACATATTAAAAATTGCTAGAGCTATTCGTAAATTTAGTTCATTTGGGTCAATACAGATAAATTTTGATTTCAGTAGCAATAAATGATGATGCTGTCTTTTGCTGTCGTTGCGGTGACAGAATGACAAATAACTAACGTATAAGAAAAACAATATTTAAAATTTTTAACACGTGGGACATGTTATGGACGTGTTGTCAAAAAATTGAGCGGTTGACGCCAAACAGAATGTAAAGCGGGACTGTTGCATAACAATGGCTGCTTGAGTGGTGTGTCTCAATCTAATTATTAAAGTGAAAAACACTGGTCTGGACAGATCGAGTTTAAGAAACCCTCGGTGAGACATTTGTTGAAAATTTTGTATCAGTTCGTGTGTCATATTTGCTATCCCCCCTCCCCCCGGATAACGGAAAAAAGAACGAATCCACCCATGGAGTGCGCACCCATAGCAACCAATAAACCATTTTGATAGTCTACAATTTGACGACGAAAACGAAAAAATCACAAAAGTATAAATCTGAACACTGAACTTGTATATTCTTTCGTTTCTTTCACTTTCCAGCCGAAGGTTCAGTTTCCTCCTGAAAAAGGGAAGAAATTACATGAATGCCTAGAATAAATGTCGAATGAAAGAATTTACACAAAGCAAGAGCGGTCAGGAATAAGAATTATTTTGAGCATTTGAAATTAAAAACTAACTAGCAGAAGCGACATGCAGAAAAGAGCAAAAGAGTTGAGGAAAAATATCATTTTTATCATTAATCTACAATTAAGAAGGCTGTATCTTATATATATTTATTTCAATGTCTGCATCGGGGAAAAACGAGCTGTGACATTTATTCCATAGGTATTACTCGATTTTATGAAATTAATGTGCGAAGACATACTTTCACATGTGTATGAATCACCGAAAAACGTTTATTGTTTCGCTTCAAAGATCATTTCGTTTTGCCAGTATTAGGTTTGCTTTTTATGTATTCAGACAATTCTCCTTTAAACTATTCCGCAGGGATTTCTCCAACTCCAGAAATGTTCGATTGGGGTTCAACTCCATCAAAAAGGTTCAAAACCAATAATTCGAGTATTAGTAATTTGCAGAATACAAAAAATAACTTGCATGTGCATCCTCATATGTGCACCATTTTATGTGTGTACTGGTTTCCGCTACAGCGAAAGCACACGCTAAGTATGTAGTAGTGTGTTTTGATAGAAACAGAAATTAAAATAAGAAAAAAAGAAATGAAGTTGTGAGAGAAAAATTGGGGTAAGTTGCAGAATAATACATGGATTATTACATCACAAACAATAGTTTATGACAGAATAATAAGATGAATAGTCATAATTATAAAATTTATTATCACATCACGAAGAATAAAATTATGATAGAATAATAAGAAATTATCATTCTAATTATGACATAACAAATATTTGAATGACAACACTGTGATATCACACTGAAACATGCAACAACAATCATACGTTGTGTAAATTTCTCCTTTAAAAATAAACTGGACGCTTGGGTTTCCCAGGGTGATATATCTGCAAGAGAACGCACAACTTCCAAATTTGTTTGACTTGAAAGGAAATAAGAGCAGACGGGATATTTATAAAGCAACATTCCTGTTTGTTTAGAAATAATAGCTTTTCCAATATCAGTGGTTAAGCAACATTCCTGTTTGTTTTGGAATAATAGATTTTCACATATCAGTGGGTGCTTTTATAAGGCCGTGTTTGGAGCGAGAAAGGTGAGAATGTGCTGTATTATACAGCTATTAGCCCAAGTAACAAACTTTTGGAAGTTTTTTTGGTTAAAATTTATTTTTTCTTGATTTTGCTGTTAAATAAATAAACACGATTATTTGCACAATACAAATTGTGCCCAGATAGATAAAAACACCCATGACACACAACACAGCAAAGTTGATGTGATTTGTTTAAAACTTTTCACAACTCCACAGTTTGAACTTAATCCTACCAAGAACTTTTGGTGTTTCAAAATCTTGATTTTAGGGATAATTCACGTCTCATTTGGAAAAAAAAAACATTTCGATTTCACAGGTCAGATTTTGACAAAATCTGATTGGCGCTCCCTTAGTTTGTGAACCAAGATGGCGGTCACCAGAACGTAGTATGTGTACCAGGTTAGGGTTAAGCCATAATTTTATTCCGATTTTCCATATTTTAGTTCTATTTCGAGTTCTATCCAGGGACTATCCAAGTGATTCCTATAGAATTTGTACCAAATTACAGCCTAACCCTAACCTAATAGACATACTACGCTCCGGTGACTGCCATCTTGGTTTACATACTACGGGAGTACCATCAGATGCCAGAGTATTATCAAATATTCAAATTTTTAAAGTTTTTGATATTAAATAAATCTTTACATTGGCTAAGAAAGCTTAAGAACCCAAATTTGTCTATTTCGAATTCAGACCTTCAGTCGGATTCAAAAGTTATAGTTGCTATTAAGGCTGGGTGCACCGAATCGAATATTCGATAGTAAATTACTCGAATTGGTTCAGAGCAAAATTTCGAATTGTCTCCATCTTGTTTTTTTCTTTCCATCAATGGTCAAGGTGAATTCCCCCCCCCTTTTTTTATTGGAGTCATATTTTTTCAATACAAATTTGACATACGACTATTTTCTGTTGTGAATTATTGATGAATAAATGTTTTTCATTGCGTGTGAACGCTTCGCAATATGTCTTAGTGATTTATTCATGTTTTCAGTAATACATTTGTTGACAGGACCAATAACAATAAAATAGTAGGATATAATTATATATCGCCCATTGACTCCAAAGTATTCGAGATTCGATTAGAAAATAATATTTGATTTATTCTGAAATCATCAGGTACCGGTATTCGAAAATGCCCAGCCCTAGTTGCTATTGAATAGCTTGGGAGTTATTCGTTATGTCCGAAGTCAGGTATAAATATCCCTGAATGCTGCAACAATGATGTAATACTACATACGATACCATGCAAATGACAACAATCAACCAAACCATATCCTAATTTTTGATTAGGCGATAGCACACCAACTTCACACTTTGAAGCTACGAAAGTGCCACACAATACATTGCCATTGAGATCTACACAAAATACATCCAGACTTGTGAGCTACAATCAATATACTAATGTGCAATATATGCAAATATAATTAAAGGAGTGACTCAATGAGCATTCAAGAAAAACAATTTTTATTGAGTTTTATTTTGTTGAGTTATTTCAAGTTTTCTGATGGGCTCAGGATAAATGTTGCTTAAATCATAGGTCTCCTTTGATTTATATACCAAACAACCAGAAGCTGAGTGAAAAATATCAAAAATCATATTGTGTGTCTTCTTAGTTTGGCGACATTGCCACACAAAAACCCATCAAATACCACACACAATATCATGCATAACAATCAGCTTTATTTAAACTTTTGTTTAGAGTTCCTCAAATAGTGGGACGCGCCCCACAAGGGAGGCGTAGAAAAATTTTTGAGGGGGCGTGAAGCTAATTCAAAATAATTTTTTTATCACATTTGATATTTATTTTCACATTTATTCCATTATTTACGTTCCCTTCCATCCACATATTTTCAACCTGTTTTTTGAATAAAACATACTTTCACATTACCATCTGTTATTTGTAGCTAGTTAATTCCGAAGTAGGGCACAAGATTTAACAAATTCTAACAAAGAGATGCGATCTAAAAATTTTGAAAAGCAATGTTTTAGAGCAAACCCTAGTTAGCCGGAATCGTGGTAGACACTCCATAATCAAAAAGTACTTAGTTGAGTTCAAGTGTCACACAATACCATGCAAGTCGGGGCTCCCGAAGTATGCGAACCAAGATGGCGGACATCGGAATGTAATATGTATACTAGGTTAGGGTTAGGCCATAATTTTAGGTATAAATACTACGGGAGGCTCTTGGCTAGTCTTCGAACTGATAATAGGACTAAAATGAGGAAAATTGAAAAAAAATTATCGCCTAACCCTAACCTGTTACCCATGTTACGTTCCGATGTCCGCCAAAGATGGATTTTCTATCTTTTGGTTACCCCTAGTGGCCAACATTAGTTCGCAAGCAAACACACAATCGCTTCAAAAGTGCACAGCCTATTTCAAGTGTCGGCGCTCCGGAAGTATGTGTACCAAGATGACGCACAACCTGATAATCTAACTTGGTACACATACTATGTTCAGGTTGTGCGCCATCTTAGTACACATACTTCGGGAAGTGTCACATAAACAACATTATTCCACACAGAAAACATAAAAGTTCGAACCTTTTTTGAATAAACTTCGACGTCATCCTCATCGTCTTCGTCGTCTGTGGCTTCAGAACGAACTCTGGAAAATCAGAAGAATTCTTAGAATAGCAAACTTTCCTTTAGAGCAGTGGTTAAACGGTCCACATAATTTCAACATGTTTTTTGAATTAAAAATACGTTAACTTTCCTATCTTTCATTTGAGGCGGGCGCAAACTTGACGAAATCTGGAAACGGAGCGCGACTCAAAAAGTTTGAGAACCACTGCTTTAGAGTGACCAAAGTGACAGGTAACTCAACAATATTCAGTCAGGTCAAGTTTTTTAGTACTCACCTTGTGAATCCTTTGCGTTCAGTCGGATTCAGAAACTTTCCAAGATTTAATTTGCTGCTTGACTTTCCGTTATTAGAGAGAAGACCTGTGAAACAACAATTAAGATTGTATATTCCGATTCAAATTTCGCTTTGAGCAAGGTCAATATCACTAAGCCTGGATATAGTGTGTTTAGATTCAAAAAGGGTAATTTTTGCAAAAAAACTGCAGTTCCGGGGGAGAGGTTCAAGGGTCACAACTCCCTTTGTAAAAAAAAGCATTTTTTGTATCAGACAAGGCAATTTTCCATTGCTTGAACTGCTTTTTAGACCCTCAAAAACCCATTTTTCCACCCTGCTAGTTGTTAATGTCCTATAACCAAAACCCCACGCTCCACTTACTTTCATATTCCTTGAGTCTCTTTGCTCGAACTTTGATACAAGCAAATGCGATCAGCAGAGAAACAGTTGGTAATACAACCAGGATGACAATGATGATTGTGGCTCCTTTGGATGAATTCACCTGGAATGCGGAAAATGTTGTTTTTATTTAAAAAATAAAAATTTGTTTGAATAAAATGTCACAAAGCAAGGAGACTCATCTCTGAACAAAGTTATATGCACTCACTCAGAAGTAAAAGAGACTCATCTCTGAGTAAAGTTACGGGCACTCACTCAGAAGTAAACACGACTCATCTCTGAGCAAAGTTATATGCACTCACTCAGAAGTAAAAGAGACTCATCTCTGAGTAAAGTTACGGGCACTCATTCAGAAGTAAAAGAGATTTTTGAGCAAATTTGCGTGCACACACTCACACTCACTCGTCTATAAGCAATGTTACCAATGAAAAGCCAAAAACTTTAGAAACTATATAAAATAAGACACGTCACTTGTAAAAAATAGTTTTTAAAAAGACTCAAACCATGCAACAATGAATTAAATTCTTGAATTAAACGATTGATGATTCGTCAAACAGGCGAGTATATTAGCGGTATCCACAGTAGAAGTTACGTTTAATGGCAAATGTTCAAACTTCCTGGGTCAAAGGTCGATGTAAAAAGATAAACAACAGACAAAACTGGTAACTGTTATCTTTGTTGTATTTCTGGCAACTAGCATTTTCCCAGATGACTGATCATGACCAATCAGCTGTGAAAGTAGTATTCACCTGCTCGCTGTACTCTAAGGCTCATTCTTGTTGATGTATTGGGGGGGGGGGGGGGGGGGGTGTGTATCGGGGTTACTTTGGTTATGTAAATGGCCAATGAGTTTGCAAAAATTCCTTACATTTCCATCAGAATAGTTTTCATTCATTTCCTTGTCCAGTTCTTTTTCATTCATATTTAGAGAATTTTCAGGCTTTTCCTCCATTTCCATCCCTGATTCCTTTCCTTTCTTTTCCACTGTTTCTTCTAAGTTGGAATGCTCGTTCTAAATCAAAATCGTATAGATAAAGAATAGAATAGAAATATGGAGATGTAGTTTTTATGTTGAAGGATTCGTTCAAGCAACGCCACATGGTTTCAGTGATCTAGCTGTTAGGGAATTCTAACATCAGCCAGGGCATAAGGATTTGCTCAAAGCAGCATCACATGAATCATCCATTTTATTTTTGTTTTTGCTTTTAATCAGGAAAGTATGGCAGCTGTCTCTGGTTAGTTAACATATAGGGCATAAAGTCCCTTAATCTTAAATTTTTTTTAACTCGCAAAGTGAATTTATCGATACCATATATTATTTTGGCCCTCACAGATGTATTAAAAGATGTAAAAATACTTGAACAATTACTGATTAAAAAAAAAAACATGGTTAAGAAATATTGAGAACTGACTTCTTAACAAAATTGGAATTGTAAAGGGACTTTATGGACACCCTGTATATCTGGTTTGATCTAGTGTTCAGGTATATTTGGAAAAAGAATAGCATTTTTCAAATTTAATCCGGGAGAGATGAAAGTAGACAAAGCAAGTCAATCATTTCGAGAAACGAAGCCTCAGAATCAGTTACCAGCGGTTACATTAACATCAGCAAGGAGTCCAGCAATCTTTTCGGACAAAATTAACCCTCGGAAAACCGACACGCGTGATCAACCTTTTCATTATTCCATATACAGTTATTTGTTCCAAACTCACAGACTTGATAATGGAGGAAGCCATAAGGGACCCGGTGGTTACGTGATCCACCCATACAGCGAATTGTCCGTTTTCTCCACAGCGCCTGCATACCCATGCACGCACACCTCAACACTGAACTACATACCTTTTTATCATCGATTGCAGAAAGAGACGCAATTCCTTGGCCGATACCAGAATCTTTCTGTACATCATTTGCTGCTGAAGGTACCTGGTAGAATTTATAAACCTTCTTGTGACTGAGATCACCAACATAGATCTGTAAGAAGATTTCAAATCATTTTAGAAGTATCTTGGAGATCAGGGAGGGGGAATTCCCATACAAAAAAAAACGGTTTAGTATAAATTTCATTCCATATCTGTGTGATTCCAACATAGATCTGTGAGAAGATTTTAAATCATTTTAGAAGTAATTTGCAGATCAGGGAGGGGGAATTCCCATCAAAATATAACAAATTCTGTCTTTGGTTCCAAATTTAAATCTATATCTGTGTGATGCCAACATAGATCTGTAAGAAGTTTCCTGATCATTTTAAAAGTATTTTGGAGATCAGGGAGGGGGAATTCCCATCAGAATATGAAAAAAAAAAAATTGTGTTAAATGAAAATATTATTACCAAACAATCAGTTACTATTGAAGACATACCAGTTCTCCACTAGGTGATGCTGTAATATCATGAGGGTCTGTGAGTGAGGAGTCCGCAGACGGCTCCCAACCCTCCAAGAACGCTCCTGTATCATAATGAAGGGTGAATCCCCAAGCTGTATCCCCCTCAGATTGGTCCGGTCCGTTAACTCCGTAGATTACGCCACCTAGGGAAAATAAGTATTTTAGAAGGGTGACCGTACATTTGAACCCACGTACATTTGAACCCATGTGTATATCCGCGGGTTCAATCTATATGCCGGTGCTAAACCCATGGGTTAGGGTTAGTATGGGTTCAAATATCCGTAAAACAAAAAAACTTCCATAGGTGCAATTGTCGTGGGTTTAAATGTACGGGAACCATTTTATAAGCAAGTAAAACAGAGTACTAGCCAATTTTTCAGATAGCTAATGTTTTTAAACTCGTTTACTCTGAAATTTGCATGAGTTACCACTGGTACTTGAGATACACTATTTGGTGCTCCTGAAGTATGCGCACCAAGATGTCGCATAACCTGAACCCTAACCTGGTACACAACCTGAGTTCAGGTTGTGCGCCATCTTGGTGCGCATACTTCAGGAGGTCCCACTATTTTTTGGGGGGAAGAGGCCGGGCTTTCGGGCAAGATCTCCACATTTTGGGATTGTATACCAAATTTATTACACCCTTGGTGTCGTGGGATTTGCAAAAATGAATAACAAAAAAAAATATCGGTCAGAGACCAAAGACTTATCGATCGAAAGTTAGGGGATCTCCCAAAACAGCGCTCTTACTCCACAGTGACACCTTGTGTCCCATCACTAATTAATTAATAACTTGCTAATTATACGACATAATTCATCCAAAATCAATAGGCTTTTGGTCCGACATAAGATGAATGCACATGCAAAATCTGGAGCGGATTCAATCTCGCTTTCGTGAGATATCGCGTGCATCTAACAGACAAAAAGACAAATACCTATCAACATACTCACCGATTAAAATCAATAAGTAATAAGAAATAATAACTCTGTGGTGTTCTCGAATTTTTTTCACTTCCTGTTAATTATTTTTAATTAAATATTTAAAATAAAAACAGAACAACATATCACCTTCAAGAGTGCTGTATGCGATCGCAAAAACCCTTTTCCCCATTTTCTCATTTTTAATAATTCGAGTCAGTGCACCAGTCTTGCCGAAGCATTGAATCCTGTAAAAGAAATGTCAGTGTTGCCCACTGGTTAGTATTGGACTTAACAATGTTTGCATTGCAGGTAAAAACGCTACACTAGGCATTTAGCCCAATATGAAAACTGAGTTAATAAATCAAAACACGATAGTTGTCAGTGAAAAGGGCTCATTAAACATGTTTAATATTCGGTCGAGACTAGGACACGTCAGGTTGTGTGCACTGGGGAAGACTACAACATGGAAGAAATTGAACTTGGAATTATGACGTTTATTTCATTGATATTTTGAACGAAATTTTATATCCAAAAAACTATAGCTGTGATTTCAGCACACACAAGTGAGTCAGATGAAATGCCAGTAACCATAAAAATAAAACCTTACCTCCCATTTTCACGATCAGCGACACATAATTCTGATTTGTCCGGTCCGCACAAGATGATGTTGTGAGCAACGAAGAATGCGTATGGTGGAATGGGTGGATGTAATACTGTTAAAAAATAATGGAATTTTTAGGAAGGAGTTGGAAACATTGTTCATAACAAACACACGAGAATATCGGTTGGAAACCGAAGACTTATCGCTCGATAGTTAGGGGATCCCCCAAAACAGAAACTGCAGTTTCGATTCATCCGCTCTCGTAACTTGCGCACTGCGCATCGCACACACACACTCGGCGGGTCCCCAAATTCTCCCGCTTTACAAAAATCTAGATCACTATATCAATAATTGATTGATAACTCGCTAATTATACGACATAATTCGCCCAAAATCAATAGGATTCTGGTCCGAGATATGATGAATGCACATGCAAAATCTGGAGCAGATTGAATCTCGCTTTCGTGAGATATTGCGTGCATCTAACAGACATACAGACAAATACCTGTCAACATACTTACCGATTAAATCGATAAGTAACAATTAAAGGCCCGAAATTCTGTGGAATTGCCCACAAAGGAAATGGATATTTCAAGAAATTGAAAATTCAGTGCCTGCTATTCATATTTAATATTCTTTCTCATCCATGTTGTAAAAACTTGGTTACGCAATGCCAAATTGAAAGATTCCGTACTTATAAAGGTGGCAGCAACTTATTATTATTTGGCAATTTTCTGAGGGTTTGAAAATTAGAACAAAAAAGTCAGGAATGCCAACAGATATTATTTTATCTTGCTAAATTGAAAATATTAATATTTCTAATGTCAACGGTAAATGAAAGTATGGAATAAATTTGAAGGATATTGGAGGAGACCCTATCCCTTTGAATATAAATTAAAGTCAGGAATGCCAACAAATATGGTTATTTTGCCTCAATAAATTGAAGATATTAACAATTTCTAATGCCAACGTTGACTAAAAATATGGTAAAAATCTGAAGGATATTGGAGGAGAGACAATCCTGTTAAAAATACTCACAATCCTTGCTAGTGACCATTCTTCCCCACTGCATAACGAACGACCCATCTCTTGAAAACTTCATAACCCGGCCGTTACAGTAACCATCAGACACGTAGATAAAACCTGGGAAAAATAAATTCAATTTTTTACAAATATTAATGATGTAGCCAGGATCTGAACAATAGCCTACTTTTTAAAAGAAATTGTCATAGCTAGGATATTTGCGCTCATTCAGAAGCAAAGACTCATTTCTGAGCAGAATTCAGACACTCACTCAGAAGTGAGAAAATTTTTTTCTGAGCAGAATTCGAATGTGGAGAAGACTCCTATCCCGAGAAAGATACGGGGACTGCCTTTAAATTGCTAAGAGCTATTGAAATTATATAAAATTGTAGTTTATTATGCAGTAACAAATAAGCAGACGTGACCATGCATTACAGAAAAAAATGGAGGGAAGGCGTAACCAACGGTTACAAGGAAAGTAAACTCACCATCATCGTCCACGGCAACATCGGTAGGTTTACAGAAATGACTCGCATCACTTCCTGGTTTCATGAACTCCCCAAGGACCAAAATAGGCTTCTCAGCACCACCTAGTGGATATTTCAAAACTTGATGCATTGCAACATCTGTAAGCCATAAATAACCTTCGGGGTCAAGGGAAATCCCATGCGGCATAAAAAATTGACCTCTCCCCCAGGAGTGGAGAACTTTGCCGACGTCTTTACTTAGGTGATAGATTGTGTCCGCCATAATTGGTTTGTTTGGCTCGGTGAACCGGTTTCGAGAATCGAATGAAAAACGGCCCCATCTGTGGAAAAATTAACACAAATTAGGTTTTTATTTGAGAAAATTTGCTCAACGCAAGGTTACGCACACTCACTCAGAAATACAGGAGATTGAGTAAAATCACATGCACACTTAAAACAAGAGAGCTATGCTCAAATATATGGACACGTAGCGCCACCCAATGGCAATAATTATGATGACGTCATAGCGAAAAAAAAAGTAATAGCCTTCTGGAGAAAAATTTTATCTTCAACCACTGAAAATTTCAAAGCAATTGGTCCAGTATTCGAAGAGAAAAGCGACTTTTTAAAAACGTGTCAAAGAACAAGAACAACAACATAATATTGAAACGATCGTTATGTCCACTACGTGTCCAAAAACAATAAATCAAATAGTAAAGCTCTGACAAGTCATGTTCTAATCGATGGCTGAAACTTTTTTCTCTTTTCTCGCTACGGCACAATACGACAAACAAGAGAGCTATGCTCAAATATATGGACACGTAGAGTCACATAATTTTGATGACGTCATAGCGAAAAAAAAAGTAATAGCCTTCTGGAGAAAATTTTTATCTTTAACCACTAAAAATTTCAAAGCAATTGGTCCAGTATTCGAAGAGAAAAGCGACTTTTTAAAAACGTGTCAAAGAACAACAAGAACAAGAACAAGAACAACAACAACATAATATTGAAACGATCGTTATGTCCACTACGTGTCCAAAAAGGAAGACTCATCACTTAGCTAAGCTACGGACCCTAAGACGTATCAATAATCAAACTAAAGAGCAAAGAATCGTGAATGGCAGCATGGACTGTATGTATAGTCAGAAAAAGAGATGAATTCTGCCAAACGTACACCCGATACCTTATGATAAAATCAGGATGACTAGTCTCTAAGCAAAGTTACAGGCACTAACTCGGGCTCATCTCTGAGAAAAATTACGGATATTCACTCAAAAAATAAAGGAGACTCATCTCTGAACAAATTTACACATCGCAAAGTTGGCAGCATTAATACTATTCTGTTACAAAGATATTTATTCTGCCAAACTTACACTCTGTAAGCTCTATGAATAAATCATATTTAAATAAAGAGAAATGAAGCCTAAATAGCAGCATAGATTACATTTCCACTAAAAGAAATTTATTCTGTCAAACAAATACTCAATTAGCTTGATGATAAAATCGAATCTAACTAAAGAGCAATGAATCGTGAATGACAGCATCAGCACCAATTCAATAAAAGAGATTTATTCTGGCAAACTTACACTCTGTTGGCTCTATGAAAGACATGCACAGTCCCATCCATATCACTGACCAAACCTCCCACTTGGCCTATTGAGTAGCCTTGCTGAAGGAGAGGAAAGCTGAGATCTGCTGATAAGCCTAAAAATGAGGAAGAATTCGGTCATATACATTACAAGCAGCTTGAAGTCAAATATTTTAGTAACAGGCTTTCCAACAATAGCAATGAAAAATTATTACAGAAGATGGGATAGGATTTACATATTTATCACGGGGGGAAAAGCAAGCTGATTAAAGTCTTAATCATTTGGGTGAACTGCCTCTCGTTCGGCTACTTGCCCAGGTTAGAAATCAGATTAGTTACCCAGTCATTTATTTTCGAATCATGGGCAGTTACGACTTCCTCCATCATCATCCCTCAAGTTGGAGGAAGTCGTAACCGCCAACAGCTATGGCGGCAATGAATAAAAAAAAAACACATGATTCGAACCTGCGAACCCACGCAGGGAAATCAGAGGTGCGGAGGTGCGCTTAGTCTCACACCAAGATAAATGCAAGAAATTCAATGACCCTTCTGCTATTCAACTTATCTCACAAACGTTCAAATCATGGCATATACCCACACTACTCAAACAACTCACAGAGCCTACAAAACTTACAGACACCCAATAAGCGTTCAATGGAAGTACCTTGGTCAAAGGGAAATTGGCTTTTAAAACTTAATTTAATGGATAAAAGTCCTACCTTGGAACTCTGGCATTCCATGACTTCTTGACAAAGATTCCGATCCAGTTTCATTCAATAGATCTGATAAATGTTCTAATTCTGGAATATGAACAGAAAAATTGATCACTGGTTATTGGTTATGAATATAATAAGCAACCCCTGATACAATGAAAGGTATCCATAAAGTCTTAATTTTATTAAAGTTATGGTGCTCCCGAAGTATGCGAACCAAGATGGCGGACATCGGAACGTAACATGGGTAACAGGTTAGGGTTAGGCGATAATTTTTTTCCAATTTTCCTTATTTTAGTCCTATTATCAGTTCTAAGACTAGCCAAGAGCCTCCCGTAGTATTTATACCTAAAATTATGGCCTAACCCTAACCTAGCACACATGTTACATTCCGATGTCCGCCATCTTGGTTCGCCTACTTCGGGAAGTTACAAAGGAAATTTATTGATACCATATATTGTTTTGGCCCTCACAGATATATTAAACGAAGTAAAAATACTTGAACAATTACTGATTAAACATAACAAATTTAAACAACATTCAAATTTGCCAACTTTGTGGAAAAAATTGTAAAATCCAGCATAAATCTTGGTGTCGCACCTACAAGGTTCTGGTCTATCAAAAAATTAATAGCTATCTAAATATCGATGCCTGCCTCTATGAAGCCTTGATCAAAGCGAAAAGGTGTCTTATAAAAAAATTCACTCACTTTCATTCACTTCAGCATCTGACATTGTTCCTTCTTTTCCCCGTACCTCTGAATGCTGAATTTCCTGAAATTCATCTTTCTTTTCAAATTCATCTTCATCTAGAAAGAGAATGTAATGTCCCATTTTAAAAAAATCCATTATGAAATCAAAGAATCAGTGAAAAATAAATGATTGAAAAATAAAATCCATTCCTTATGATATCATATATGAACAAAAACCGGCGCTCCAGAAGTTATGTACCAAGTGAAGGTGACTAATTTTGTTCGCCTATTTTACATTAAGTTGTGTAAAGAGATTGAAACCTATGGGCAGGGGGTATACTCACTTGGCTAACACAGACAGTCCCCGAACTCAAGGAAAAATGGAACAAAATTATGGCCTAACCTAACCTGGTACACATACTACGGAAGTACCCAAAAACCAACCTTTTTCTCCGTCATCATGGCTGTGCATATGTGAGTGCATGTGTTCTTCTGGTATCGGAGGGATAACAGCTTGCCCTTCAGCTATCGCTTGTTTTGAATCTGTATGGAGAAAAATGAAACGAGAATTAAGATCGAAAGTTAGGGATCCCCCAAAACAGCGCTCTTACTTCATAGTGACACCTTGTGTCCCATCACTAATTAATAACTCGCTAATTATACGACATAATTCGCCCAAAATTAATAGGCTTCTGGTCCGAGATAAGATGAATGCACATGCCAAATCTGGAGCAGATTCAATCTCGCCTTCGTGAGATATCGCGTGCATCTAACAGACAAACAGACAGATAGACAAATACCTATCAACATACTCACCGATTAAAATCGATAAGTAACAATTTTGTGAAATGGATTCAAATCAAGAATACAAGTCAACACTGTGAGAAAAAAACTAAGATAAAGTGAATGTTACATAATGAAAGTAAACTTCTAGAATTAAAATTTAGCTGTAGCGAGAAAGTATGAAACATTTTTGTGAAAAATGGTTTAAATCGAGGAAGCCAAGTGAATGGTATCAGACGACAATAAGAATAAAGTAAATTTCACATGATGGAGTTACTTGTAAATTTTTAGGAAAGGAATTTAGTTGATATAGCAGGATTTCTCTACACAGGGCCACAATAAACCCAAAACTGAGAATGCGGACCAAAATTTATAAGATAAGGTAAAAACGAGAATATCGGTCGGAGACCGAAGACTTATCGATCTTAGATCGATAATTAGTTAATAATTCGCTAATTATACGACATAATTAACCCAAAATCTATAGGCTTCTGGTCCGAGATATGATGTATGCACATGCAAAATTTGGAGCAGATTCAACCTCGCATTCGCGAGATATCGCGTTCATCTAACAGACAAACATACAAACAGACAGACAGACAAATACCTATCAACATACTTACCGATCTTAAGATCGATAAGTAAAAAGTAAAGACGAGAGAACATTATATCAAAAAGTCTGGGAACTACTGCCTTACCTTCACCAGCATAACCAGGATAAGGAGCCAAATCTTTTACATCTTTTGGAAAGTGCAAATCTCCCTCTGTCAAGCCATAATCCAATCCCCAGCATTCCAAAGTACTTTTCAAAGATTTTTTATCCGAAGTGTAAAACATCAGATATAAGTTACACATTTCATCTGATCCTGACGGTCTGTAATAAAATTATTAAGATTTAAAAAAAAAACGATGGTGTTATTAAAAGGGGGAACAAAGAAAATCAGTTTTAATGTTGGATTGATTGGAAAATTCCCCCCGTCACAAAGTCTGGTACTCCCGTAGTGTGTATACCAGGGAAGTGCTGGGACTTAATTTTATTCAGATTTTCCTTATTTTAGTTCTATTACGAGTTCGGGGACTGTCTGTGTTAGCTAAGTAAATATATTCCATAGGTTTCAGTCCCTTTATACAACTTGATGTAAAGTAGGCGAACAAAATAAGTTACCTCCATATTGGAACACACACTTTTGGAGCACCAAAAGTCTGACCTATTGAACCCCCCCCCCCTCCAAAAATCCCACTCCTAAAAATCACTCCCTTGGAAAATTTCACCCCAAAAAATCGCTCGGAAATAATCCTCTTCCACAATAAGTGTGTTATTATTTTTCACATAAATTTTGTGGTGTTGTACTAAGGCAAGTACCACCAACACGCCCCTAAAACCAGCCAATCAAATTATCAATAGACTCACCCTGCATGAATCGACTCATCTCTTGTATTATTATAATCACATTGAGCTGCAAGTACATCTCCTTTTTTTAACTCCAATTCTCCCCCCACTCGAGGATAAAATGACTGCGGCCACTTTGGATTTCCTTTTCCGATCATTTTGTATTTTCCACTTCGGAGACGATAACCAGTGATGACATTTGCTGAAAATGAAAAAACAAATTATGAAAATATAGATTATAACAGTTTATAATTGACTTGAGCCACAAAAAATGGTGCTCCAGAAGTCCAGAAGTGTGTATCAATATGGAAGTAACTAATTTTGTTCGCTTACTTTACATCTAATTGTGTAAAGGGACTGGAACTCATAGGCAGGGGGTATATTCACTTGGCTAACACATACAGCCTCGAACTCGTAATAGAACTAAAATAAGGAATATCAGATTAAATTATGTACTAACGCCTACCTGGTTCACATACTATAGGAGCACCCAAAATATCTTTTTAATACAAGTTTATACCAGTGGCTCCCAACTTATACCTTATAAAGATCATTACCTAGTGTTATGGGTTGGTTTATTAGAGACATTAGCCCAAAAAAAGAAAACGCATTGATGCAAGACTGATGAAAAAATAGGTAAAAGATATAATTTTTCTGCAATCAGACGGTACGGTGAAAATATCTCAGTTTCCTATGGTCGGCTTATCAGAGACAACAGCCAATTAAAAAAGACTGCATACTGGTGCAGTTATACTGACAAAATTAGATGTTAAAAAAGAGATAAAAAACAACACAAGTTTTCTTCATCGGCTCATCAGAAGGTACTATAGAAAAATTCTCATTTTCAGAGTTGAACATTGGTCTCGGCCTATTGGACGGGATAATTAGTCGAAAAAACGAAATTTCTTAAAAAATATCATCCTTCTTGCCTATATAGACTTACCAAGCATATGAGCATGCGTCCTGAACGCGAACACATGGAGGGGATTTTCAATTTCATTTTCGCACGCAACGCTCGACCCAACATTAGTAGAATGTGGGGGTAGCTGAATGTCGTACGCTCCAAGGAGAAATATTCCAGCGTAATATTTTTGCCTGAAATAACCAAAGAAAGTTTGCTAAAGTGAGGTGAAGTCTAAATAAGATTATTTTAATATGTCGTTTAAAAAAACTAAACAATTTAACAATTTTTAAAACTTGGAATTATCCCAGGATCCCGGTTTTTGGTTAAAATTGAAAACTTTCGGTGGGAATAGAAGTTATTAAAGTATTAGTCAGAAATGAAAAGTTACTGAAGTTTTTAAAATCTACGAAGAAATTTAATAAACTAAGAATTGCGAGGCTGTCTAATTTATTTCGTCAGATTAAAAGTACTCACGGAGTTGTTGTGATGTCCATTGTCACGCCTGAGCAAGTTCCTTCGTCGAAAGCCTTCGCAAAATGCATTTGTACGGCGATATATCGGATTCCTGAGTTACGGCCAATGCTGAATGAGAGAAGCATAATTATATTAACATTAATTAAAGGCCGGAAGGGAGTGAGGGGGGGGGGGGGGACATACCATATATATGTTCTCAAAGTGCTCCATACAAAACCCCAGGGCTCGTGGGATAAACATAGGGTTCCTACGAGCTATTCGTTTACTTAACGAAATACTGACTCGGCTAATTTTGCAACTGTCTAAAGAAGTAATAAATACATCTGAGTCATTAATAATAACATTAATCTGCAAGTAACAATCTGTTTTTTTGTTATTATTTTAATGAATTTAATGTCGGACTTTGTAAATAAGAATCTTTCTCACAGGCTTATGTGGCGCGACTAGATGTCTGATGTTGGTTAAATGGCCTACCAACGATAAATGTTTTACAAGTCTACACTGCTAGGTGTTAAACTTTACTTTAAATATTTCAAGTGGCAAATGAGGGAATAGGTGGAGAACCCTTGGGTAAGGAGGAGAATGGGATTTGAATCCAAGATGTGTAATCTGCAATGCCAACACAATCAAGTCTAATGCCTTAAACCAGGGTGGTCCAAGATTGGCAGCTCCGCAGGCCACAAAATTACTTTTGCATTGTTCGCGGGCCACAATAGTGCCAAGAACTTTGCTTGTTTAATTTCGCTAGTTGCCTCAGCAAGCCATAACACTAGTCAATTCAGTGACGTTAGTGATGCAACAATATGTCAAAAGATTTTTTGGTTAATTTTTGACGAAACAACACAAAATGTGATTTTTTGATTCCTCTCCGAATGCGACGCGGGCCACAGATAATGAAGTGGCGGGCCACATGTGGCCCGTGGGCCTGAGTTGGACCACCCTGTCTTAAACACTAGGCCACCACTCTTAAGTGTAGTGGAAATGTGAAAAAGCCTTGTGAAATACCTGTATCCGACGTCTTTAGGCATTTTCAACTGTGGAGCGTTCCTGGCCCAAGCAAACAAGGTTTGTTTGTTCTTACATGGCTCATAACATTGACTTCTGAAAAATGAAAAACAGGGAACATGAGGTACGACACAAAGAATGCCGAGCAACCCCCAGGATTTACATATTCATCCAAGGGAGGAGAAAGCCGATAAGACGGCTTAATCATATGGCAAACCACGGCCTCTCGTTTGGTTACCTGTCCATGGAATAGTTAACCAGTCATTTGCTTGCGATGCATGAACTTGACAGTGGGAGAAAACATAATCAACGTGATTTTGAGTAACAGAAAAATGACCTTTGATTTTGGGGTGCCAAACGGGTTATTATGCAGAAAAATAACAAAATTTCACACAACCAGCAAAAAAATGTAAACAACTGCGGCTACAGAGGCAATAACAAGATTTAAGGCGGAAGAAAAATTGTGGCGCTCCAGTCGTATGTGCACTAATATGGAGGTAACTAATTTTGTTCACCTTACATCAAGTTGTGTAAAGGGACTGAAATATATAGGCAGGGGGTATATTCACTTTGCTAACACAGACAGTCTCTGAACTCGTAATAAAACTAAAATAAGGAAAATCGGAATAAAATTATGGCCTAACCCTAACCTGGTACATACACTATGAAAGTACCCAAAAACTGGACTATATATACTGGTTTATACCAATCACTTACTTCCCAGTTCTGTCAAACGAAAGGTCGTGACATCCAAACACGAGCATATGGTGAGATCGCTCCATGTCTGCGTGGGGAATGAAATTCACTGAAAAAAAGGAATGATATAAACCATTTAATTTTTATATGAGAATGTTCTCAAATTTAACCCAAAAATAAAGATGATTTATTTATGAGCAAAGTTTGTGCAATAACTCAGAAGTAAAAGCTACTCATCTTTGAGCTAACACTCTGAAATAAACGAAGAGTCATCTCTTAGTAAAGTTATGTACAATAGCTCAGGAGTAAACAAGACTCATCTCTGAGCTGAGTTCTGGGCACTCACTCAGAGGTAATCGAGAGTCATCTTGCTCTAACATAAAGAGCGTAAATTATTCCCCCCCTAATCAGCAGTTCGTTATTCAAAACTCAATTTGGAAGATGTTTAATATGCATTCAAAAAAATTATTCCAGACATAATTACAGATTTCAGATTATCCAAACCCTAATATTTGAGCTTGGATTATTTCAGAATAAATTAGACATACAATATTCTAAAATATTATTCCCAAATGTAAATTATCCACAATCCATACACTGACATAGATCCCCTTTATTAGCAATCTATTATTAAAGCAGAGGATACGAGCCATATGCCGCTACCTCTATATTTCCTTTGCGTTATGATTGATTATCCTAACGAGTTATTGACGTACAGATGCCTAATTACCTTATGCACAATAGATATATTTTTAACACAAAATGACCATCTGAGATGAAATTATCATATATGTAGGGTTGTCTGCAGTGAATTGAATTTTAAATTAATGATTTAAAATTCCTGATTTAAGGAATAATTTATAATAATTATTTTTTTTAAATTGTTATTTTGAGCGTTTAGTAACTAATGATCAGACAAAAAATAGAGACTGATATAGAAACTAATTGGAAATAGTTTCATAACATAAATTGGCGCTCTCGTAGTATGTGAACCAAGATGGCGGACACCTGAACATAGCATGCGTACCAGGTTAGGGTTAGGCCATAATTTTATTCCAATTTTCCATATTTTAGTTTTATTACGAGTTCGGGGACTAGCCAAGTGACTTCCGTAGTATTTGTACCTGATATTATGACCTCACCCTAAGCTGCTACACATACAACGTTCCGATGTCCGCCATCTTGGTTCACATACTTCAGGAGTACCCATAAATTTGGGGGGAATTATTAGAGTCTCATTGTATGATTAATACATCTTCATTTGATCTGCATTCTAAATAGAAAACCGACCTCTACGACCTCTAGATAGATTCTTAGAAACAGTGTAGAAAATATATGAAACAATCATATAAGGACCGAAGATGAAATACACATAGCATCTACGTAGCACTACATAAAGAATTATTATTTTTTTCAATAAAACCCTCCCAAACAACCACAGAATCATATTTGTAAATAATTTCAACCACAGGCTGCATGATGGTCTGGAAGAATCCATTCCCAATGAATAAGAGCATGGGTTCTTGGTATTGTGTGAATTTTTTTTTTTACATTTTGAAGAGGGAGGGGGGTTCCCACCCCCCGGGATCTGCCCCTGGTCATCCTGTATAAGGCACCTATCCACTACTGCCTACATATATGAAGAAAATCATTTCAAACGAATTTCTGTATAAAACCAATAAAACGATTGTTAAAACAGCGCTAGATTCCCAAAAAACAACGAAAAAGGTATACAAGACAATCATGTAAGGGCCAAATAAGAACTACCAGTAAGCGCATCCCATCTACGGCCACATATGAAGCATAACATTCAATATAAAATTTCAATGAAACACTCCCAAACAACCACAGAACCATATTTATACATAATTCTAATCACATACTGCATGGTGGTCTGGGCGAATCCATTTTCATTGAATAGGAGTTGGGTTCCAAGTATTGTATATATTGTGGCTAATTAGATGTGAGATTTTTTATATTCATATTGGTGGAGGCAATATCCGGGAGTAAAAGTGGAAAGAGTATTGATAGACGAGTTTGAAAGCAAAGCAGCTGATACTCAAAATGGGGTAAAATACATAAGATGAGTGCTTCCTCAACACAGACTTTGGGGCCCTGTTCCTATGATGCTTTGTGACCACCGTAATAACTCTGAAGTGTTTAGGGCACTCATTGATTCTAAAAATTAATTTTCACAAAACCTTAAAATGTGACATACGCTAAGTCGCTACACTTTGATTTTACTGCTGTGATATTTTCTCATATCGATGTCCAAACAGTGTGTCATCAAACATTAATGTATTCACAAAACAAATTGACGTGGGATATCGGCCGTTGTGATATCGCTACAGCTTCTCATGAAATATTCAAATAAACACGGAATAAGCCAATGTTTACGTCAACATTTTCAGTTTTATGGAATTCGATACCCGATGGTGGTTTTCCTGAATATATGCACTTGAACTACTGCTTGAAGTCTTGTGTTAACTGGTACCCAGTAACATATAATTCACCCTACAATGCAAATGAGAGGAGCTTCAGTTATCTGGAACTCACTACATCAGTGTTTTCTAATCTATAGGTTATCTGCAAATTTTCTTGGGTAGATTGTATTTGTAACAAAAAACATTTTTTTAGTAAATTCCATTGTTTATTTTATATTTAGTAATTGTTCTTTAAAACTAATTGTATGAGGAAAGTATCAATTTGTTAAACTTGGCATCATTCGTTTTGTTGAGTGAAGCCACGTCACCATTTAAAAAACACGCTGGAGGCAGACAACCGCTGCCTTTTAACTTCCGGGGAAATACATTTTATGTAAAAATGATTGTTTTATATTAGTCATTAAGTTTGCGGCCAGTATTAAATGCCAATTAGCATTTGACTATGGCTTGAGTTGCAAGATTTTACAAAATTTATTAAAAATGGGTTCGTGTATGGCAGAATAAGAAATTCAACTAAATGTCAGCAAAATCACATTCTTTCTTATAACAGATGGAAAATGAATTTTTATTAGTCCATCATTCATAACCGATATTCTTCAGTCAATAAAGACCAATTTATCTTTTCGGAAATGAATTCATGGGAATTACAGTAATTGCATAGCTGACATTTTAAAACCTATTTATTCATACGATTGACGTTAAATTAACATTTTACCAAAATCTCATTCTTCAAAACAAACGGGCAAACATCAGAAAATCAATTCACCATCTGGCATTTATTTACAATTCAGATGATATAAGGAATCCATAAAGTGTTAAAATTATTCAAAATTGCAAAGGGAATTTATCGATACCATATATTGTTTTGGCCCTCACAGATGTATTAAACGAGGTAAAAATACTTTGAAAACAATTATTGATTAAAAAACAACAAACCTGGTCATTAAGATATATTAAGAAATGACCCCATAACAGAATTGAAATTGTAAAGGAACGTTATGGACACCCTGTATATTGAGAACTGACTTCATAACAGAATTGAAATTGTAAAGGAACTTTATGGACACCCTGTATATTGAAAACTGACTTCATAACAGAATTGAAATTGTAAAGGAACGTTATGGACACCCTGTATATTGAGAACTGTCTTCATAACAAAATTGAAACTGTAAAGGAACTTCATGGACACCCTGTATATTGAGAACTGACTTCATAACAAAATTGAAATTGTAAAGGAACTTCATGGACACCCTGTATATTGAAAACTGACTTCATAACAGAATTGAAATCGTAAAGGGTCTTTATGGACACCCTGTATTATGGGATATTGTGTATTGAACTGCAGGTTATTTCTGCTTGTTTACTTCCTACTTTCGATCAGTAACCAATACAGAAATATATTTGTGTTAGTGTGCAGCAAGACTCTTGAATCACTTCAAATACAGGTTGTCCCAAATTAAATGAAATTTTAATTCTATTACCGATTTCGTGGGTTTCACATTTATTTTGAGACACCCTGTATGACTTTTCAATTTATCGTATATTCAATTCGTTTTGACATCCCTGATTTAATAAACCTCCAGAGAATGATTAAACAAAATATTGATCGTTTTTATTGATTAGGAATAATTATTAAGCACTTGCTCACTTGCGTAAATTGATTTATTGCTGTACATCCTCACATATAATCTGAGTTTATTATAACTCAAAAAAAAGGTTGCCAAACTGACTTGTCATTTAGAACGAATTATAGAAATTACACAACCTAAGCACAAAGTGTGCTAGATTACTGAAACTTGTGGATACAATCATACTCGAACAAAAGTTCAAGTGTTCAATAATTTTATTTATTATGCTGGAATTAAAAAGTAAAAATAACATGATCTCTTTCAACGAAATAGTAAGTATATTTGTCTAACGAAAGCTCACAAATATACTTACTATTTCGTTGAAAAAGATCATGTTATTTTTACTTATCACTTTAACACTATCTCGTTCAAGCATCCTTGTGGTGAGTACCACGTACGGATCCGAAGTAGCAAGTAATCAAGGAGAAAGGACCTGCAGTTCAATACACAATATCCAAGTTTCCTTAGTAATGCTAGAAGTATCGTAATCAGGAATTTCATGGGTTAGTTTTTTTTATAACTCTGCATATCTTGCCAGTTAAAACAACTCAATTTGTGACTAATGAATATATTTAATATTCAGGAATATACATATTATAAGTATAAGTTAATTCTGACTCCATAATCAGGATAACAAGCAAAATTGTATAATCATCAATTTCAAGATAATACAGGTGTTTTTGAAAATGGAATAACGAATACATTCTGAATATTAACATATAATACATGGAAGTAAATGCAGGGTATCTATAAAAAAAATTTTAAACTGCAAAGGGAAGTCATTGCTGCCATATATTGTTTTGGCCCTCACAGATGTATTAAATGAAGTAAAAATACTTAAACAATTACTGATTAAAAAAAAAAACTGGTTAAGATATATTGAGAACTGACTTCATAACAAAATTGAAATTGTAAAGGAATTCTATTGACACCCTGTATATTTACAAACTTTAGATGCTGCTTTTCACAAAGTTATGTTTTTTTTGAAAGATGTTCCAAACGCTTTTTTTTTAACATTCCATTCATTTTAACAGCCATGTCTACATGCAACACTATTTCTGGCCCGATACAAGTTCGGAGAAACTACTCGGTAAATTGAAATTCTATTTTGAGCGTCATTATTAAGGTCAGTACATCAATGGTATGTGACTTATTAAAAAAACTTGAAAGCAGACTAACTATAATAATTATCTGGCCATATAGTAATTTAGTAATGGTGGCTAAGTAATACCTAGGGACTCTAAAATGGATCAAATATTCAAAATAATCAAAATTATGTATTAGATATAGTAAATATATGATAAAAAAGAATAGCATAATCTCTTCCAACAAAAATCATATTACGATATACTATCTTCATAATAGTATCTCGTTCAAGCAGTGACAAGTGACACATACGGATCTGAGGTAGAATATAGGCAAAAAGACAGAACTTGCAATTCAGCGCACAATATCGTGGTACAGAATATTTTGGGGAAAGAGATCATGGTATTCTTATATATCTCTATAATATTATCTCGTTCAAGCGTACTTTTGGTAACTGACACATATGGATTCAAAACAGGAAGTAAGCAATATCCTAGTGCCCGTAGATATAATTATGATATCAAGGGAGTTTAGAACATATCCATTATCTAGTTTATCAATATAACCATTCCATGTCTGATGTTCAGACAAAATTTAAACTTCATTCTAGGTATGACACTGTATTAAATCGGGAAATCATACAAAGCGATGTTTCTTTCAACTGTACTGCTTTACTAAATCACAATTTTTTCAATATACGATGATTTCTGCAACTTTTTTTCGAACACGACCGAAAATACAATATTTGGTATTCAGAAATAATATTTAATAAGAATATAGTCAGAATGGTGACCGTACATTTGAACCCATGTACATTTGAACCCATGCGTATATCCACGGGTTCAATCTATATGCGGGTACTAAAACCCATGGGTTAGGGTTAGTATGGGTTCAACTATCAGTGAATCAAAAAAAATTCCATAGGTGCAATAGCATGCAGGTGCAATTGTCATGGGTTCAAATGTACGTGGGTTCAAATGTAATGGAACCAGTCAGAATAGTCAACTAATAGATTTCAACGACCTATGATAACGGCTTATTTTCAAATGTTAGGCCATACAAACTAAATTTAGGTAATGGAAACAATAAATATTTTCACAGCCAGACTTTCCAGACCTGCTCGAAAGGTCATAAAGTGTAAGTCTAATACATTTAGACAATAAGTTGCGAAGAGTGTGAAATAGCAAAAATACCCCTTGTGGAATCTTTTTAAAATTTCGAAAAGTATCGTATTTGGAATTTCATATCGTATTTCTCGAAAACAGCCAATAAAGGCAGCATCACGATACATTCAGGAAAAAAAGGATAGCCTACTATTTGGACAGTATGTATTGTATTGTCAAAAGACTTTGAATAAAGCTAGTTTGAATGAAACTCTAAAATAACGCTTCCATACAGCCGATTTACTGCGTAAAGTAAATTTAGACACAATTATATGACAATATAGTAATGATGGCAAACCGAAAATAATTTCCAATTATTAAATGTCTGTCATGTACTGTGAATGTCTAAGTTAATGATATAATATTGCATTTCAAAAAGCAGTGTTTTGTAATTAAAAATGACTCCAAAACAGCTACAATTATCTGAACACAGTAATGGTTGCACAAAATTTCAAAAAAATTTGGAAAATAAGTCAATTCCAATAATCAAATTAAGGTGTTTGAAAAAAGATAAATAAGAAATGAGATAAAAAAAAGTGTTTGGCGTGTTAAGTGGGATTTATGATATATTCTGGGTTATGATATAAACAGTAAATATTAGGTTTCCCTGCAAAGACCACTAACCCCAACCACCAAGACCCCAACTTACACAATCAGCCTTTATTAACGGAAAGCCGCAAATATTTTTCTAAACCCGCGAACCAGAGCCATGATGATTACAATATCACCCACAAGCTTATCTTGACATGCATGACAGCACTTATGTCAACGACTCAGCATGGAGATCAAATTTGGAAAGCCAAGGTCAAAGAGGGAGATGAAATGTTGTTTTAGATGTGTTATGTAATTTTCGACATGATCTCCCCAATTGGAACATATTCAATATTTCACATTCAAAAATATTTTTTTCAGAATGTATTCGAAACAGTAAAATCCTCGAATATGAGACTTTTGAAACCTCAAAGAATCAACACTTTACTGAATGAAATACAATATATCAAGACTCATTAAAGCCATTTGAAAATCATAAGCGATTGGTTTCTACAGGACGGCAATTTCCTGCAGTCGTGTGCGAAAATAGCTAAGCAAAGGGATACTACTTAAAGTCCTGTTTCCTAACTTTTTGACACATTCTTCCTATTTCAAAAGAAGTTATATAATTTGCCTCCAACCTATAACAGCAGGCGGAAAATATTTCCGAACCCACAAACAAGACCTATAATGATTATGAAATCACCCACAAGCCTATCTTGACATGCATGACCTCACTTCTGTCATCATGAGGGTCAAATTTCAAAAGCCAAGGTCAAAGAGGCAAATGAAATTCCGCTGATGTTATATAACCACAAATGAGGCCATTATAATGAGAGTCTCCTAAATTATTTACTAAATTTATATAACCAAATACTTAAAATGGATTGCAAGAAATATGCTTGGGTGCCGCTCAAATAAATTTTTCACAGTGATCAAATATTACCGGTAAATGAAATTTCCCTTTTACCTTTGCTCAAATATTAATGTCATATATGACCACAGGAAATGGTTATTCAATAGAAAGTATGGACACTCTATAGCAGTGGTTCTTAAAGTATGGGTCGCGACCCAAACATGGGTCGCGGAAGGTTTAAAAATGGGTCGCGACAAGGTCGTCAATGCAAGGGCAATCTAAGAGGAGAAGGAAGAATTTTCAGCTTTCCCAATGTTTCAATTTAGCTTCTAAACTCTGGTATTTAAAAATAATGAAATATCAAATTTCATTCACGGAAAGAACTGTCTTGAGCTCATTGTTACATCACAATTCTGATATGCCAGTCACGTGTATTACTTTTATGGTATCGGTAACCATGCACGTCGCTTGTCGTTGTGTTGACCGCGTGGAATGTCGTCTTAGTGGATTAAAATAACTAAAAATGGGTGTCTTTTTGGTAATGTAAATTGTAATAGACGACGCAATGAAAAAGCTCGCTTCTCGACATTAGATTATTAAATATCTAGAGAAAATGTGACTTCATCTTGAGGCACCATTTACCGCGAACGAAGCAGTGTGTGCACATTTGATGAGTAAAAATTTGTATATATTGCGAGAGATACCGAAAGCCAGCTAGGATGTCGTGTTTGCGACGGACAGCGGACGCCTTTTCTGCTACAATTCGCGACAAGGCACTTGTGCGAGCGAGGATATTTGGCACTGGCGGTTATCAAAACTAAGCTCGCAATCGCCTCGATACCCGTGACAACTTGCGTATTTCGTTAAGTAAAATGGAGCTGTGTATTGAAGATATAGTGAAAAGGAAATTTCAGTTTCATCAATCTCACTGAGTCAATGGACTGTTTCCAATAAATAGTTGTCTGTATTTGAGTCAAACTGTACTAACATTAAAAACACATTTTGCGTTGTTTAGGATTGGGTCGCGAGTATTCATAAAACTCAGATTTGGGTCGCGCTCGAAAAAGTTTAAGAACCACTGCTCTATAGAAACAGGTCATATATGGTTTTGATCAGTTTAATTAAACCCTAATTCCCAGTGAAATTATAGAGGGTGTCTCTAGACTCTATATATTATCAATCCATCACTTGTCATAATTTAATAAATAATAAAGTAAATTCAACTAATAAAGTAAATTTTCACTCCAATACATAATTAGAGAAAAGAAATGCATCATGAACTCAAAAAGTTTGCAAACCTCTTCACTGCGTTTGACCTCATTATTAGTAAATGAAATTACCCCACCTGAAGTTCAAGTACTTAGATTTGGGTGAGGCAGGAAGTAAATTCTTTAATCTCACATCTTCAAGGTCAAGAGGTCGTTCAAACACACCGATGAAAGGAATGTTTGAACAGACTGAATATACCCATTTCTATAGAATGCGGTATTGTTGTCCCAAATTTGTACTTTCAGTATATTTTCAAATTTTTATTCTGCTACTCCAAATTGTTGAATTTCAATAAACAATAATTGGGGCTCCCGAAGTATGCGAACCAAGATGGCGGACATCGGAATGTAATATGTGTACCGTACTAGGTTAGGGTTAGACAATAATTTTAGGTATAAATACTACGGGAGGCTCTTGGCTAGTCTTCGAACTGATAATAGGACTAAAATAAGGAAAATTGGAAAAAAAATTTCGCCTAACCCTAACCTGTTACCCATGTTACGTTCCGATGTCCGCCATCTTGGTTCGCATACTTCGGGAGCACCCAATAATTTAATTGCTACCCTATTTTTACAGTTTTAAAAATTATTCGAAAACACAGTGTCTTTGTAGATTCGATAGATTTTGAAATGAAATAAGGTCAAGGTAAACAGTGCTTTTATATTTTATACCGCCCATAACTTCTGATTAATATATTGTTTTTTATCTGAGTCTAGATTTCAAGAGTCTAATATATAACTAAATCAGTAAACTACAACTAACGAATTAGTCAACAGCAGAGAAAACGAAACAAATCAGAAAGCAGCAGCACAAAGGACATTCAGGATCATAATGTAAGATTAAGACAAACACCACAGTTAAAATGATTATTTTTCGAATGAAACTAGGGATGTCAAAAATGAATCGTAAATTTGAATTTGCTCAAAACCATATCTATTAGATATTTAAATTCTTGATTCAAAGAATCATTTAGAACAGTTAATTTGAAAATGATCATTTTGATAATTATAACCCAAAATATATTTCACATAATGTCTGAGAATTATAAAAAATACAGGAGCTGTTAAATAGGTTTGGAACAAAGTAGGATAACCCACCTATGAAGCTTTCATCTCCTTGAAATGGAACTTTGTAAGCGGTACAGAGGTAAGTGTCATCCTGAATAAAAAATTATAGTTCAAGTTTGGACATAATGGTTTTAACGGTTCCATTACATTTGAACCCACGTACATTTGAACCCATGGCAATTGCACCTGTATGCTATTGCACCTATGGAAGTTTTTTTGTTTTTCGGATAGTTGAACCCATACTAACCCTAACCCATGGGTTTTAGCACCCGCATATAGATTGAACCCGTGGATATACGCATGGGTTCAAATGTACGTGGGTTCAAATGTACGGTCACCGGTTTTAACTACCACTCAAACAGCCTCCTACATAGACAGCTGGCTAGAAATAGGGATGAATATATGGTTTACAGGAGTGCACTGCAAAAAAAGTGCAAATCATAGTCAGAATAGAGAATATCTCCGCCCAGTGGCGCAGCCAGGGGGGGGGGGGTATCGGGGTCGAAAACCCCCCCTTTTGAATTTTCTGAAAAGGGAAAAAGTTGCCGATAACACGTACAATTGCCTTCTGCTAAAATCGCCGTTAGTTTTCATCAATGTGCCATGTTATTTATGCCCTTTTGAAAATCTTGGCTGCGCGCCTATCTCCACCCAAACCATTTGAATTGCCTTCTTAATAAAGAAAGCAGATTTGATTTTTAAGACAAATATACAAGGTTTATATATAAGTATCGTGATGAAATAGAAATAGCGACAACAAGGTACTATCGCCATGCGATCAGAAGATGGTAATAGTCACATGGCAAAGCGAGGGTTACACAAGTGACCATAACATCGCTCAGTGATGAGTCTCTTTAACTTCTGAACGAGTGTCTCTTCTAAACTTTTGAGTGAGTACATGCGACCTTCTCTTGAAAAAATTCCCCCTAAAAAAACAAATCTAAAATAATTACCTTGGTTGTATGAACAGATGGGAATCGAATATCCAGAGTCGCTGTGTTCGGGCTTGTGTATTGGATATTGCTTCGTTCGTTACAATCAGACGTAGGAAGAGGGTCTGGCTTGCTTCGCTTCCAAATAGAATCGGTTTGCCGACGATTATAAAATGGCGCTAATAAATCCTGATAATACACCTGTTCAGCGATGCTTGAACCGCTTCGTTTGTTCCGTAAGTCGCTTCGGAGTGATGAAAAAGTGTTTAAAAAACGGGGGTCGTACCCATAATATGCGTCCGTGTGTTGAAATATAAAAATTGCACCAAGTATGAGTTTTAAAGTGGTGGTTACTGCAGAAGACATCGTAGCAGAATTTCTTTGATATTGCACAATGATGTTTCTCTATTGACTTTGAAAAAAAAAATTTCAAAGTTTTGCTCTTTTTTCAGTTAGTTCAGCATAATGGAAATCTAATAACTAGTTGGAGAGTACGCTAAAATATCTGTATTTATAGGAAAAAGTATTGAAGTTTTACTTGGGTTATTCAGAAAAATTTTAATATGTAACTAGTAAGAATAAACCTAACATAATAATGACAGTGCTGTTATTTTCCACTCGTGAAATCATCATTTCGACCCCCTCACCACGATTTATTTAAGCTTAACTGGTTGAATAATTGCATCACAATTAGCTGCTAATTGGCAGTGTTTAGTACAGGGTGGTCCAAACCCAGGCCCGTGGGCCATATGTGGCCCGCCGCTTCATCATCTGTGGCCCGCGTCATATTTGTGGAATTTAAACAAAAAATTGCATTTGGCGCTGTTTCGCAATAAAAATAACCAGAAAAATCTTTTGACATATTGTTACACCACTAGTGACACTGAATTGATTACTGTCATGGTTAGCTGAGGCAACCGGCAAATTTAAATAATGTGCTGGGCTAGTCTAAATTGTTTATTGGCTTCCTATCTTTTTGGTCGGGACTGCGAACAAAATAGGCTTCATAAAAAACTAAAAATCGAATGATGAATCTATTAGCCTAGGTCGGATATGCCTGATAACTAAATAGTAATGTTATAGCCAAAGAATACAATTATTGCCGGATGTTTTTTTGCAACCAGCCTAAACCGTATTACAAGTAATGCTGCCTATACGTGAGGAAATTTAGTAATTACCCTTCCAAATTTGATGAAATTCGGCAATCAATCAATTTGCAGTTATTACATAAGTTATTCTGTAAACATGAGTTTGAAAAGAAAGCTGAGCAATTCAAACAGATTTCTAACTGAATAATGGGAGGAAAAATACCGCTTGCTTGATATCTCTGCAAGTTGGGTTGTCGTGAGTCTGAAAAGGGAATTTCTCCTTATGACACCTTCTGTAGTAAATGTAGATTTAGTAAAATTTTTGCACGTTTTAATGAATTTTTTGGTGATTTTTGAATGTTCTAGCTTGGTAAATGACAAATAATGATCAATGTGTTTGGACAAGGAAACTTTCACAGATCGGAATTTAAATTCAATTTAATTTCTTTTGTTTTTTTGAAGATTTACGTATTCGAGTTGCCACCGATCCTAATATTCAGTATAATTAACCAAAGATCCATTTGCGAAAGACTCGATCACTCAAGTAACCTAAATGGGAGTGGAAGTGGTGACTCCTCTACGGCCCATGGGCCGGGGCCACGGCCCATCAGGCTATGGGCGGCGTCCCATCAAGTTGTGCAACGTGACTATTCACTTGGCTAACACAGACAGTCCCCAAACTCATAATAAAACAATAATGTGAAAAATCTGAACAAAATTTTGTCCTAACTCTAACCTGGTACACATACTACAGGAGTATCCTTTTCTGTAGCTTGGTATTTTACTTTATTTTCATATAAATGCTTATCGTAAAGAAAATTGTGGCATACAGCGATTTTTTTTATTCAAATGTTGACAGTTTTGAAAATTTTGGTAAGATAATTGTATTTTTCCTGATGGGACCGCGGCCCATAGCTTGATGGGCCATGGCCCATGTGGCCCAATCAGATAGGCCGTGGCTCCGGCCCATGGGCCGTAGAGGTGTCACCACCCCTGTAGATGGAATGCTCCAGACTCCAGTGATTCTGATTCGAAACTTGGTTGACCTATGACTGACTTGACCCTAGGTTTGTGATTTCTACTTAACACCAATTAATGCTCATAGCTGCGAATTCTAAAGGGGAGGAAGGTTAAGTTTCTAATTGCCAAGTTAGACCATATCAGCTAACGCGTCTGGCCTAAAGCCGAAAACTTGAGTTTTCGGGTCTCGTGTAGTTTCGTACCTAACGTACTTCTAGTGGGCGTAGCATAACAATTTTTTGATATATCAATCCTAACCCCCATCTGATTACGTCATCCAAAAATTAAATCACTACGACATCACAATCACGTCATAGAGCTTGCCAAATATACGCACGATCGACCGAAATGGCATTGGCGCCGACGATGAAGAACTGACTGACGTTATCGGTCTCTCTCCTATTGGAATCGTTGCGACGAGAAAACGAGAGAAATAACTGTTCGATTTCGGGTGCTCGTTTGCGCGTCTTGGATGGCAGTTCGTATAGTTAGAAGAGCTCTATTACGTCACTGTGACGGTGGCGAATGGTGTAGTCAGGGTGGGGTTAGGATTGATACGTAAAAAAATTGTCATGCTACGCCCACTAGAAGTATGTTAGGTACGAAACTACACGAGACCCGAGTTTTCTAGAGTCTTGCGGGTCTAAAAAACATTTCAAACTATGAAAAATTGCTATGTATGCTACATTGAATGATTTTTTTCACATTCAAAAGGGGTTGAACACCCCTCGCTCTGAAATTATTTTGGTCATTCTAAAGCCTGTAATTCAGCTGTCATATCTTTCCTCAATCCTAAATACAGAAACCCATATCCTATTCCACACTCAACTGATAACCAACAATAACACATGATATATAAAACATCCGTTGACAACACGATTCATCTCTCTTTTTTTGCGGTGATGGAGGCCATGAATAATTTACGCCGACCTTTTCAAAAATTCAGGACGCGTAATCAATAGTTACGATAACCTGCACGAAAATAAATGGTCATTTCCATTAATGAGATTAAAGCCTTCAATTTTACACCAGCTTGCGGAATTCATGCTTCAAGCTGTCAATTATGTACCGTATTGATTGTTATATTTGAAACATGGTGCGGTATAAACATGTTTTCAATTGGTATTAAATTTTAAAATATGGTAAATAGCTGGAATCCCCGAATCCTGTAAATAGGATAAGTAAGATTGCTACCGTCACTGAACTGTCACTACTGTACTGAGGTATTTCATTACGCTGTTCTGTAATACCGATAGATTTGAGATAGATAATTTATTCTAAAACTCCACAATCTGACAATTGAAAAATGGAGAATTCCGGAGAGCGAGCAAAACCTTTAAAAAAGTTTAAAACAAGATGAGTCGATCATGTGCCCGCTCACCAACACGCATTCACAAAAAAAAACACAAATCTGTGGAACAACGCTGTGAAATACCATCAAATATAAACAAAATAAAAAATTTCTCACACAAAAGCGCAAACAGCGAACCAGACGCCCATGAGCCGGCAGCCAAATGCAAATGAAGATCGACATGAGCATCGTCGAAGTAAAAAATAAAAAAAAAAGCAATTTCCACAAATTAATAGCCCAATAGCGCACCTGGTGACTAAAATTTGATATCATCAGACGACCGCGGACAACCTACCAGTCCATGTCGCGTATAAGGTCAGTTTCAGTTATTTGTTTCAGATGCACGGACTTGATGGCAGACAAACCCGTAACCAACCAGCGTTCACGTGAACGGCGGGAAGTCTATTTATTTTCTCGCACAAAATTATCCTCCCATCCACTCAATTTGAGCGAGCGTTTCAGATACGTGAACTTGGAAAACAGGCGAGTAAACACGATATTTATTCACCAATTGCTCTTTTTAACTCACATTTAATTCTTCGCACTAATTACTTTACCCTGTAACTTCGTGACGCAACGTCACTTGAATTTTTGAAACTCTAATCGTCAGCTGTAATTTCAGATCTCTACGACATTTCTCCTATGCAATCCTGCCACATTTCTTATGGGTAAAGAGGTTTCAAGTACCCTCCCACACCTTCACTTACTAATACCAGGTTCCTTCATTACAGAAAAGCATGCCGAATTTATAGCTATATATATAACAATACAGGAATGTAACATAAAAATAGGAACAAAAGGCCATAATTTTAGCTATAAATACTACGGGGGGCTCTTGGCTAGTCTTCGAACTGATAATAGGACTAAAATAAGGAAACACCCCACGGAAATCATAATAATTGACGCCACTGCGCTTTTCTATTTCTGTCATATTTCTTCTTGAATTTCCCATTTCATATAGAAATCTCATTCCACTCCGATACACAAATTCATTTTATGTTCACAACATCGTAGTCTGCCAGCATTAATTCCTCAGACAAGTCGTAAAGTTTGTAAATATCGATTGGATTATTGACACATCTTAACACATTATGAATATGATTTTCATAACTATTCCAGGAAAAGAAAGCCGATATAACGAACCACGAGCCCACGTCTGGTACCGGAGTAGTTAACCAGTATTTCTCAAATGCAAGGACTTGATGGAGGGTGGTGTCTCTTTGGGCTATCGTCAAGATACCTAGAGGCGTTGCTATGTACAACATATGGAAACCAAAAGACTTACAGAAGAACAGCAAAAAACAGCACACATCATCAACCTATAAACTGCAATGACTATTGTGCATGTCTTGCGCATACTACGCATTGTCCTTTATTTGATGAAGTCCAGGGGTGTGCAACCTGCGGCTCGGGTACCAAATGCGGCCTTCAAGGAAAAATTGTGCGATCTGCGGAGATGTGCTAATTTTGAATGGTGCGCGGCCCGTGAAACGAGTTTTCAATTTAATCCCGGTATGTGCGAGTAATTCCAATCCCTTTGCGTTGCGAAGCCTATACCTGAGTCAATTTAATATCCATTACTATTACTTTAATATACCTTACCAGCTAGCTTGTGCAAAAAACGTATGTGACCAGGTTAAAACCCAAAATGTTTGTGCCTGCTACTAGAAAGCCTTCGTTGCGGTGCGCCCGCGTTTTCATCCAGTTATTTCTATCTGTCACTCCTGTATTAAACGTTGCACACCCCTATGTTAGACGAGATCCTTCAGTGAAGTGGGCTGTATTATGTAAGGGTTAAATATGTAAGCCACGCTTATCTCAACTAGTGGCGTATTTAGCGCAGCGTTTCCCAAACTGTGTTCCGCGGAACACTAGTGTTCTGTGGATAAGGAATCAAAAATACGTCTAAAATGGTCTCCATGGGGATCTATGCGACGTGAATTGTCGCCCAACTGACCGTTCGATATCGCAACTAGGGTGAGGTGGTGGTATTTTCGTTAACCGTCGGCCTAGCTTTTTGACTTTTAAGTTC